GGGGGGGGGGGGGGGGGGGGGGGGCGAAGCACAAAGGTGACGACAACAGACATAACTGACCGGAATGGCGACAGCAACAGCGATTCGTCCCTCATATGTTTACCGGTGTCTCGAGGGAGCGCCACATGTCTAGTGTTGTAGCGTTAGGTTGAGGTGCCTGCTGTATCCTGTGAACCGACCCCGACCGCCAGCGGAAAACTGCGACTTGTGGAAGACAGTTTCTCCTAGAGGCACCGCACGCCTTCGCGGATTGCGGCTGCCGTCTGGTTTCGGTATCACCCCGCGTCAAGACAGCACGACACCGAAGAGACCCTTCCTCAAGCGCTGCGAAATCAGTGCCTGGCGGAGATTAGTGGTCTGTTCCCCTTGCACGAAACCATTGGTGCAATTCAGCCAATCAGTACCGCGTTGCATGCATGTACCACTAGACAGCGCCTCCAGACATGGTGCCGCGGGCAGGCTGACGCGAGAGGTGGGTGGATGGGGAACAGGTGGATGGGCAGGTCGCTGTGAATGTGAAATATGACTCACGCACCTTCCCCTCCAAACCTTCTGGACTGTTGTCGCGCTGGAGACGTGGAGCCGCTCACGCGCCCGCCCCTCCCGTTGGGCCTGAAGAAAAGCATGCAGGCAGGCAGGCACATGAGAAACCAGGCAACAGGAACAGCTGCCGGTAGCGCTCGCAGTTCAGAACCCCTAGTTTTGCCTAGACTTGGGTTATTAATTCCTAGGGATAGGCTACAAAATCGTCACACATGTAGAGCGCCTCATCAACGGTGCTCAAGTGAAAATGTTTTGATATTATGTTGATTGGGCATGAAGTACTGCCAAATTGTCGAGTGTGGGCGTACACCGCTGAACACATGTTGCCAGATCAAACACAGCAGTTTGGCGCGGTGGCGATGTGAAAACCACCATTGTCGAATACCACACAAGACAACACACCCCGGGGACACCGTATGGCTTACAAGTAAAGCATCACCGGGTGTTGTATTCTGTGGGGGGTGTGCTATCTTGTGCAGCTTGTGTACCCGGGTTATACCCTGCAGGTCGTAGGAGCCACGAAGGGGGTGTGGTAACCAGGGGGTGCGATACCACAATCGCACACTTTCAGGGACTCCACTTGTGCGGAAACTAGGGCGCGCGTTAGCAGCGCCTGCGAAGAATTGCCTACCATGCCTTCGGCCACACGCACGGGGCGCGTGGGAGTGATACCGCTGCCTGAAAATAACACCGCACTGCTGCCGCAGTGGCAGGGTGAAATGAACTCAGCGGGGGTGATAGCACCGACAACACAATGAAGTTCCTGCCGAGCGTTTGTTTTTTTTTCCAGTCGTAGGGAAGTAAGGGGTAGGGGTAGGTGTGTGATGCGCATACCCGGCAAGAACGCCAACAGCGCTCTCTCGAAACAGCGAAAGAGAGAGCTGCCATGAAGCATTGAAAAGAGGTTTCATCCATCACTCCATCACTACCGCCCAACACAAAAAAAGTGGTAGTATGAATCAAGGCGGGAGATGTGGGGTGAATTGATTGATTCAAGGACCGCGTACGGGGTGAGGTGCGCAATCAGAGGGTGTGTTGCCCATGTTCCCTGCTGGGCCATAATTGCATCTCATCAGGAACCTCTGATGAGTCATCGCTGGGGTGGTAGAAGCATGGGCTCCGTGTTCACGTGTGTCCGAACCTCACGGTATCTTGTGTAACCCGGGTGGTATTTCGGCTCAACGGCGTACAACGAAACAAACATTAGACAACTTGGCGTTGTGTTCTGTGGGTGTCTTCTCTTACGTGGCTGTGTCATCTTGTGTCGTATACGGTGCTGTAGTTCACACGCAGGTCATGTCAATCACACCCGGACTTCATTTTGGTTGCGGAAAGGATGCGAAATTTAAAAGCTCCGTAAGCAGGTCCACACGCAGCACGTATCTTCCTTTCGGAGCGCAGCGGAGAGATGCGGACAATTCCTCGGAAGCGACCTCAGCAACCCCCAACAAATGACCGCCGACAAATCGCTGTTCTTCCAAGTGGCATACATCCGCCCGACTACGGTGATGCGTAGCCGTCTTGCCCCTCATTCCACGCGTTAAGCTGGGGTTGAGAGGCAAGGTCTTCAGCCTCTCGCTGGCGGGGGGAAAACAACGGGGCGGGAACACGACTAACCCAATCAAAGCACCCAACCAAAGCACCCAACCTTCCAGAAGTTCAGGGTGAACTTTAGGTAACGTGGGATGCTGCAGTACCACAGCAGCACAGCAAGTGAGCCCGCCCAGTACCCCCCCTGTTCTGGATACTCTGATACATCAGTGAGAGTAGATCGGACTTCCTCATCCCCAAGGTTCCGCGAGTTTTTCCACCTACGAGCATCTAGAATGGAAGCCCGATTCTCGCGAAGCCGCGTGTTGATCCACCGACGATGCACAGCATCAGTACAATCGAAGTGTAGCAGTTGCGTAAGCATGCGAGATTTCGTTGACGCACAGTCAGGCGCACAAACCAATTCCGCCACTACTACTCCTCAACTGGCAACGATCTTCAATTTACAGCATATTTTCCGTGCCTGCTGGTGCTATGTTCCTGCCTGCATGCTGCAGAGTCTAAAGCGATCTAGACGACTTAACACAGCACCAAACATTTTCTCACCCTCGCCCTACGCAGAAACTCGCCCCTGTCTTCTTCTTTGCTCCTTCCCCTGAGCGACACGGTCGGCCTCTTCTTGCTCTCTCCGGTCCACATCTAGAGTCCCAATTGCTCCAACCCAGCCCGTTTAGCTTGTGTGCTGAGTTGTGAGTTCAACCTGCTCTGTCACACAGGATGTTCACTCCCTCGGTCCCTTGGGCGGCGGGAGCAAGGGAGCACGCGGATTGAAAATTTTCATCCGTGGTTACGATGGGACGGAACCCCCCGTGTGGTGCAGTCTCAGTCAATGGTTAAATGACAATATTGTCATATACCATTGGTCTCAGTCTTGGAGACGGCGCATGGGACAAGCCGACTGTAGTTGGGATCTCATATTATGCTAACACATCTTCATGTTGACGCCATTGCAACCCTACATGAGGTACTCTATCGACATGGATACAGCGCTGAAGTTCCAGCAGAGGGTGGCATGTCCAGTTGGATCATTGCGGCAAGTCTCGCCGCAACGAGATCAAAAGGTCTGCCTGGCTGGGGAGCTCACGAATCGTACGGATCACCTTTGGAGTTTTTGCCCTACCATGTGAGCTGAACACTGTGCTTGTTCACGGCTGAGACGATAAAATGTTTGCATACCTATCATTTTACGGGTGATACGGGCGGATGTGCATATGTGTATCCGTGTCTCCCTCGCGTTGAAGCGAACGTGCAACAGGGTTATAGGTATATACGTACATACAGCAGCTCGCCCGTGCCCAGGCGAGCATTGCCGAACGTGGGCGTGCGCTCGCATGCAGTTACCAACGGCATTGTCCGCTCTGAAGGGTCCGTTCATGCCTCGTTCACGGAACAGATTCAAAAACAGAGATATGTGCAGTACAACCCTTTTTCGATCGCGGTCAGGATCGCGGTCCCGCAAGCCGTTTGAAATTTTGAAATTAACGTAAGATCGTTTTGAGATGAAGAAATCCAGCAAGTACGTGCTTCCGTATTCCTGTACATAGATACACGAAGTGCTGCTGTTCGTGTGTTGGCATGCGTGTTGGCATCGAAAGGGCTGGATGCACCAGTTGGTTGCGGATTTTGTTCCTCGGACATGGATATGATCAGGCTTACCCCGCCTTCGGGAAAAGTTGCGGCGCAACTACGCCAGACAGAGCTGATGGCGAGCGAGAGCGCGCTCCAGTAGCTCGGTACAGCGACCCAGGCCTACACACTGCACAACAGCTTGGGGTGTCGGTGTGGGCTAGGGCTAGGGTTTAGGTCTAGTGAGGCCTGGCGCCGTGGTGTTGCCTGAGGCCTGGAAACCTGGCGCGGCTGGAGGCTTTGGGTTTGTCTACATATTCTACTGCTGTGCATCCACTCCAAAACTGTTGAACTGGCCAGTGCAAGAGAGTATTGCCAGCTTTGGCGTATATTATCGCGCCCCTTGGGGACATGTGCGTCCACTCCCTTGTGCTTTCATCTCGCCTCTCAGTGATCTAATTGACGTGGTTAGCCAAACTCCTTATGGTCCAATGACACATTGTACAGCAGGGGTGCTCCGCGGTAAAGACGAATAGTTTCCACGAGTTTTTCAATGAGCAGCAAGAAATGATTCCCAACCTTTGAAAATTTGTACCAACATCCGTTAGGCCTCGTGGATCACGAAAATATACTTATTTTCCCATTTGGATGTCGTGGTGATGACATATTGATGAATGAGTGGCCAAAATTGGGTGAAAATCGCGTCTGCGGGCCCCCCGAGCAAGATGCAAACGCCTCCGAATCGTATAAATTTTTCAGATTAGGCTAATGTTGTGTTGTACATCAAGAATCCGCCGTCAGAATTTCGATCAGGATCGATGCGGCCGTGATACAGCTACGCACTAATATATATGCGCGAAAGCAGGGATAACCTGGAATTACTAGGAATTACACCGAAATATTCCCCTTCCCGCAACACTCTCCACATGTTGATTCAATCTCTCCTGACTTCGAATTAGGGTCATTTTGGGGTGGGGATCACAAATGTATTGTTGGAATGTCCCAGTTTTGATTTGCAATGGACTTTCAGCTGCTCAAAAGCTGACAGTAGCTGAGCAATTTCAAAATTCCTGGGATTTTGGATTCTCGGTTCCCACGTCGAGTTTTTGTCTGATCAACTTTCTGAGTGGCTCTACCCCCCCTAAATCGGCCAAGCGGAGTCGATTGCCGAGGAGAAATGGAGGCGGCGAGATCGGGAATGCGCCGAAAAAAAAAGTTCGGCATGATCCGAACTGATTTTTTTCTATTTCTCTTTTTTTTATGCGCTGAAACGTCGTTTTAGACTTGAACCAAAAGCGTTTTTTTGAAAAAAGTTTTTTTCGCCGCGGGAGAACCAATTCGTCTTTACCGCGGAACCCGCCAGCAGTGGATCCGTCGGGAGCTCGTCATTGGGCAACATTGGTGAGCGAGGCGTGACATGTAACGTATGTGCTGGTGGTGGTGACGACCGCCGCACAGCGTCACCCGTCCACAGAGACGGTTTGATCAGAAGTTCTTGGCACAAGATGCAGGAGATGGTGGACAAGATGTCATCGCTGCTGCAGGCTAAGTCGGGTGACCTAAGTCGGGGGAGTCGGGGCGGCGCCGGGAGAAGCGCAGCAGGTGGCGAGGGGAGTCGACACTGCTGCAGTCGAGAACAACAGTAGGCCGGGCGTTGAAGGCGAACCGGTGCGGGCGTTTGAGGTCCCTACTCAGAGGTGGGTTTCGTGGAGTCCAGAGCACCTAAGATATACCAGTTCACATAAGCATGCGACCGTCGAATTGCAGACTCGCCGAGTCATGATCAACGAAATATCAATTTACGACACCGGTGTCCCAAAAAGTATGTGCGAAACCGTAGAAAATGCTTCGAAAACACAACTATTGAGTTCCTACGCTCTCAACTGTCGCGCAAGCGCTCGTTCGTCACATAGTGACAAGTGGTTGCCGAGATATGGCCCAAAATGATGTCGAAGCACCACCTCAGCGGTGTCGGAAGTCAGGTTATTTCCGACACCGCGTGAAACTTTCCTGAGTCGCCTTCAATAGGATCGAAACAAATTTAGCTGCGTTACCACGGCCCCAAACTGTTGCACAAGCACGTGGCCACAGTACCACCCCGGCGGTGTTGTAAATACGCCTTCTGTACAACATGGCGCGAAACGTTCCGAAATCGCCTTCAATGGGTGCGAAACCAACTTTGCTGTATTCCCACAGCCCCCAGCTGTCACACAAGCCGCCATTTGGCCGAAACCAACATCTGGTTGAGAAACACACCCAAGAACGTGGCCACAACCGCACTTCACCGGTATCGACAACGTGCGAAAAGTTACGAAAACACCTCCACCGGGCACGAAGCTACAGAAAATGATCGTTGTTCCCATGGCCCCCAGCTGTCGCGAAAGTCATATTTCGACCCAAACTGATAATATTATTTCCGATATTCATGAAGGCCCTCCGAAACCTGTGCACGGTCTGAAGCAGCTATCCGACTCGTACGCTCTTGCTGATGGTGCTCCGCTGCGGCGTTTCAGTCGCTGACACCCTCCGGCGCTCGGTGAGGGGTTTTGGTTTTCCACCCCCCACCCTCCTTACGTGCCTTGCTTGTGGGTATTTCGGGTTGCGCATCTCCCTCACCCCCGTAGGACGTGAGTCCACGTAGACCTCGAAAATACGGGTGCCAGACAGTTTCAAGTATCGCGTTGCTGTGACCCATTCCTGTGACCTTGGGAACACACCTGAGATGGCGGAGATAGAGGGCAGCCATCAAAGGGATCAGGCAGCTTGGGATGCCCGTTACTTGACCCTCATTAGACCAGGGTGGTCAACGGGGATGCCATGCTCATCATCGTGCGCTTTTGGGGACAGCCCGTCGTTGGGCCCTCAGATTCTCATCACGAACTTCACCGACCAACACCGTGGGACAGTCAACGCAACTTGTCGTCTCGCCATGCGCCGGGCAGACACCACGGCTCCTATTGACGTGATGGACGTAGACCACAAACACCCGGCTTCGGCCGAGGCTGAGCTCACGACCAGCAAGGGAGGGTACACCACCGTCAACATTCATCCCGTTGAGGATAACGGAGTATGGGCAGGGGGGTAGCGGTCAGCAGCGCCCATTCGCCAAGCAGTAGTCTAATGGTCCCTGCTTGTATGACCGTACACAGGGCCCAACGGCTAGGGTTCCAAAGAGTGGCAATGTGGATTCGTTCTACGGGATTCTTCGCACAGGGTGAGTGGTGCACCGCCGTGCCCCGGTGGGGAAACGCTCGACGGCCTGTTCCTCGTCTTACCAGACGTTGCCTTGCTGGACAGAGAGTTACCGAGGGAGTATCTCACGAGTTTCGCCAAACACTCAATGCATCAATACCATCAACCATCCCCCATCAGCGTTCTCCCCGATACATGTATGCGACAAAAAAGCACACACGACGAATACGGTTAACGTGGAGTGCATACGCTACACTATCGGGACGAGCGGTGGCCATACACTTCCCTAAGCAAGTGGATGGAGGTGTGGCCTGGAGCATTGTACGACGATGTGGGTGAGGCAAGGCGTGTCGAGGCGGGGATACATATGCCCTTGCTGAGCGGTCGAACAAACAATCAATCCTCTTGTCGCAATGGAGCCAATATTACACGAGCGAAGAGAGCCACACCGAGTGTGACACATTGCCGATTACTTTTTCTGGCAGTCGCTGCAGTGTGGTCACTGCCGCGCTTCAACCAAGGGTAACGTGTACGAAGACGACGATAGTGTTCGTGGGTCTGCGAACATTGTTGTTGGATACATGTGCTGGATGATGTTGTGTCACGCAGACTGGTAAGATAACCGTTTGGTAGGGGGCACCGCGATGATTCACGGGGCCCCTCCTTGCTGTGGGAGCCGCTCTTTGAGCGCTCCCTCTTTCGTCCGAGTGAAGGACGGTCGTCGACCTCTCGTGAAGTTAATACATCACCAAAACAGTCTCACCCGATAAATACGTGGCGTAGGCCG